GAAGTAAAGTGGGTTCCACAGACAGAGCACATCTCTCACCCTCCTTGGGTTCCTACATGTCTGTTTCTGAGGCTCTAAGGAAAGAGACAGCTGGACTTCCGCCACCTGGCTGCATCACAGACAGGCTTTGCAACGTCCAGAGTCTCACACTGAGGTTGTTATTGCTGCTCAAGATGGATCTGCCCACACCCCTTGGGTGGTTTGGACAGAGACCGTGGCTACCCCACTGCCTAGCAAGAGGGAGGGACTATGAAAGGAAATGCTGGTTTTGCGACTTGATGCAGCTGGGGCCATGGACAAGGACAGGCGAGGACAGGGCAGAGCAGATGGAGACTCGAGGTTGGCAGGGGAACGTCTAGGGCACAGGTGTGGTCCTTCATGGACTGGAGCTCATTACAGATGAGGATACAAGACACTGGGGATGGGCCGTAGGGGAATGAGCTTTATAGGAGACTAGGGGCCCAGGATGCACAGCTGAGGACACTCTGGGGCCTGGTCAAGGGGATGCAGGTGAGGCAGACCACTTTGACATGGCCAGTTGATGTGGCTGAGCCAAAAGTGCTGTGTTGAACAGTAAAATCACGTTTTTTAATTAATCAGTGAAGTTCCTATCATGGTCCCTGACAGATGACAGGGTGAGGCTCAGGGCTGGGGTTGATTTGATCTGATTTGATCATTACTTGGTGAAAGTAATTACTTGGCTGAAAGTTTAATGGTTTGATTTGTAGGCTGTGTTAAATGTCCCTGTGTAAAAAAAAAGCCCCATCAAAATGTCATTGACAACTCACTCCTTATCATATCCAAAATAGTAAGACGTCTTCCTTGTAATCTTTTGTGTTTAGAGAAAAGCAAATAGGTGTCTCTTGTTGGGTCGGGAAGAAGGGGGTGGCTTACTTAGTGGAACTGAATGCAGGCAAGTGTGTCCCCCTTGGCTGATACTGTGACACTCTGCTACTCAAAGTATGATCCATGGACCAGCAGCATCAGCATCACCTAAGAGCTTGTCAGAAATGCAGACTCTTAGGCCTCACCCCAGACCGAATGAACCAGGATGTGCATTTTAACAAGATCCTTAAGTGACCTGTATGCACAGGGAAGTTTGAGAAGCAGGGCTGTAATGGACATCCATTATGATGTCTTCCCAGATCACAAGGGCGCCCTGTTTCCTCACCAGCAGCATGAGAGAGGGCTGGCAGCCATACTGGATAACATGGCCCCAGCTCTTTGTTACAGTTGATTGGATA